GGAGCATTTAGGCTGTTCACATTGAGAGTAATTATTGAAAGATATGATTTATTGTCATCATGTTGCCTGTGAGGTCCTTGTTTCTATACATTGTCTTTGTAAATTTCTGTTCTATATCACTCTTGGGGTCTTTCTCCTTTTATAGAACCCACCCTCCCCCCTTAATATTTCTTTTCAGGGCTGGGCTTAGTGGTCATATATTCTTTCAGTTTCTGCACATCCTAGAATCCCTTTATCTCTCCATCCATTCTGAATGACAGCGTTGTCAGATAAAAAGTATTCTTGGATGCTTGTTATTCTCATTTAGTACCCTGAAAGTGTCTTGCCAGCCCTTTCTGGCTTGCCAGGTCTGACGTTATTCTGATAATCCTCCCTCTGTACATAAGGAATCTCTTCCCCCTCACTGCCCTTAAGATGGATTCCTTGGTTCTAAGATTGGCAAGTTTTACTATTACATGCTAGGGCATTGGTCTGTTCTCCGTGATCTTAGGAGGGGTCCTCTCTGCCTCTAGGACAGGAATGCATGTTTTAGTCCCCATATTAGGTAAGTTCTCAGCTAACATTTGCTCAGATATATCTTCTAGTCATCTCTCTCTCCCCACCCCCTCAGGGATCCCAGTAATTCTGACACTGGAACATTTCATGGCATCATTTATTTCCTCTAATTCAGTTTTCATGGATTTTAAGCTGTTTGTTCCAGGCCTCCTCCTGTTCCTTCTTTTCTGTCAGTTTGCCTTCTAGATCACGAATTTGTTCTTCTGTCTTATTTACCCTAGGTGTTAGAGTATCTAGATTAGATTTGATCTCACTGGCAGCACTTTTAAGTTCTGCCAAATCAGCTCTCATTTCTGCCCTTAGAGACTCTATTTTGCCATTAATGATTTTCTCCATCCTAGGTATCGTCTGCATAACTGTTACCCTAAAAGTCTATTTCCGACATCTTGCTTATATCCATATCCATTAGTTCTGTGGCAGAGGTCACGGTCTCTGGGTCTTTCCTATGTTGTGGGTTCCTCCTTTTAGTCATTCTGTTGAGGGGTGGTTGAGGGAATGTACAGAGTCCAAATTATTGACCACAACCAAAGCAAGATGCACCTATTTTATAGGAACCTTAGTGGGGACCTGGGTGGCTCAGTCGTTAAGCGTCTGCCTTCAGCTCAGGTCATGATCCTAAGGTCCTGGGATCAAGCACAGTATCCTGGCTTTTGTGTTCCATAGCAGCACTCCCAGCCCCCACCTCCAAGGCAGGGCATATCTCTGCCCTTTGTGCTTCTAAAACTGCCATCTGCCCCCAGTTTGCAAGTGCGCCCCCAAGAGCTCCAGGTTTCCATCTGGGGGGCTGTCCTGAAGTATTTTCCCCACTACTAACGGTCTGCAAGTCTGTGCATGGTTGCTAGTGCAGGAGGTTTTTGTGCTCCAGCAGCATGGGATCCCAGAGGCTCCCTCCCCTTCCATTTATCTTCCAATATCTGCCCAGAGAATCATGGCTCCCTGCCTCATACCTCGGGACCAGCCACCTGAGATACTCTGTTTGTAGAGATCCAAGTATATCTTCTTACATCACAGGCTGATTTTGTGGGTATTCAGAATGGTCTGGTAGATATCCAGCTTAATTCAGGGGACTGGTTGAAATAGGGTACCCTAGTCTTCCACCATCTTTCCTACTTTTGTCTTTTAACCTTCATACCACCTTTACTGTATATTTGCTTTTATCAGAGATATTTTTTCTTTCACAATTTTCTTTCTTCGGCTTCTGGTCTTTTCTTTTTCTCTTACAAAAGTCCCTGTAACATTTCTTGTAAGGCTGGTTTAGGGGTGAGGAATTCCTTTAGCTTTTCTTTCTGGGAAACTCTCTCTCCCCTTCAATTCTAAATGATAATCTTCCCAGGTAGTATTCATGGTTGTAGGTTTTTTTCCTTTCAGCACTTTGAATATATCATGCCATTCTCTTCTGGCCTGCAAGGTTTCTGTAGAAAAATCAGCTAATGGTCTTACAGGGTTTCCCTTATACATAATTAGTTGCTTTCCTTTTGCTGCTTTTAAGATTCTGTTTATCTTTTTTCTTTGTGCTGTTCATCTTGGGTGATTCCCATTAGCATCTTCCAGATGTTGATCCATTCTTCATTATTCTGCATCCTCTAATTTGCCACTGATTCCTTCTCCTGTATTTTTTATTTCAGTTATTGTATTCTTAAGCTCTGATTGGTTCTTTTTCATATTTTCTCTTTGTTGTAGTTCTCATTGTGTTCATCCACTTTTCTCCCAAGTTTGGCAAGCATCTTTATGACAGTTACTTTGAACTCCTTATCAGGTAGATTGCATATCTCCATTGTGGGTTTGTGGAGGTATTTTTGGTTTTTTTGTTGTTATTTTTTAGGTTTTGTCTTATTCTTTTGTTTGGAACATATTCTTCTGTTTGTTTGGAACATATTCCTCTGTCTCTTCATTTTGCCTAACTCTTGTTTCTATGTATTAAGCAGATCAGCTACATTTCCCAGTCTTGAAGGAGTGACCTTATGTAGTTGTCCTGTGGGGCCCAGAAACACAGCTTCTCCTGGTCATTAGAACCGAGTGCTCCAGGGGTGTTCCCTCCGTGGTTTCCTGAGCTATTTTGATGTGCTTGGCTATTAGTACTGCAGGCACAGTGGTGAGCAAGGCTGGCCCCCAGCCCACCTGGCTACAATGCATGGCTGTAGCTGTTGTGGGCATGCTGGTGGGGGCCAGCCAGGTCCACCCACTGCGGCAGGGCAGGATCCACTTTGGGGTAGGGCCTGTCCCAGCTACGCCCCACGTGTGCACAGGAACTGCTTGGAGGAGTGCCTGCCAGGACAGGCATGGTAGGTCTGCAGGCTGGGTTGAGCAGTGCTAGCAAGGTAGGTGGAGAGTTTCAGGAATGGCACCCCACGTGCTTCCTTTGCCAGAGAACATTCCCACAGAGCTACACACCTCTGGCACATACCCTAAGATTAGTTGATACGTCTCCTTCATGTATGGCCCAAGCACTTTTCAAACTGCTGCCTCTGAGCTGGGTGTCAGAGTGAGTTTGTGTGCCTACCCTTGAAGAGCAGAACCTCTGTCTCTGATAGCCCTTCTGCTCTTCCTGCTGTTTTTTAAAGGTAGACATTATGGGGATGGGGGCTTATCTTCCCAGTGCAGGTCTGCAGGGCTGGGGTGCCCGATGCAGGACCTGAACCTCGGGGAGGACCTCGGCATTTGTGATACACATCCCACCTATGGAGTGCCACACCAGGCATGTGGGTCCTGCCTAGACCACATCTTTGCCCTTCCTACCCATCTCAGTGTGGCTTTTCTTTAGATCTTTAGTTGTGGAAGGGCTGTTCTAGTCTTCAGGTTGTCATCAGCAAGGTTGGTTCTATATGTAGTTGTAGTTTCAGTTGTGTCCATGGTGGGAGGCAAGTTCAGATCTTCTTTCTGCCATTGTGATCCTGTCTCCCTAACATGTATTTACTTGTAGAATTAGAAACAATGATTTTAACAGTTTTAAGTCAACTTAAGAAAAACGTGTCAGGGAAAGAGGTCGGAGAAACTCTTCAGACGTGCTTTTGACAGTTTCACGAGTATCATCTGCATTACAGATGTTCTGTTCTCCATTTCCTATGCTGCTGACACTCCATTAGTAAGTTTGTTGAAGGCAGGAAAATTTCTTACTTGCTTTTGTGGCCCTTTCCCTTAGTGCCTTACCCATTTCCTGGCCGAATAAACAGTTGCAGAATTGATTGGAGGCATATATATTCAGAATATTTTAAAAGCAGGGACAGGTTTTCCCTAAGCAGCAGGAGCTGTACAGTGTAGCCAGAGGCGTGTCCCACAGGGGAGCCCCCAGGAGGGCCCACCAAAGACATCTCCTGTCCACAGGCACTGTGGGTCTTCTGCCAGCTGAGCTGAAGGGCACTGACTGTTTTAGCCATGGTAAATATTTGTGGGTTTTTTCCATCCAGATGGGGGGAAACTTCGAGCCCTCCTGAGATTCCAAGCATCTTCCCTTCGTTTGTTTTGCTGTATGTGCCAATTATTGACGAGCTCTGTTTTTCTGGGAGGAATGGCTCCTGGCTGGCCCGTTCTCAGCCAGAATGTTCACAAGGAACAGTCCGTGCTCAGTACTGACTGCAGGCAGAGATGAAGGAGGTGCCACAGGAGACTAACAGAGGAGCCTACACCCCACCCCCCCCCAGCCTTCCAGCTTACACTAGAAAAAGCAAGAGGAAAGAGGAAAACTACCCTAGGAAATGCCTTCTTTAAAAATGTATTCCTTTTTCTCCTACTTTGATGAGTTTGGGGATTTGTTATTGCTGTTATTTTTTTAAGTAGAAAAATACACCATTAACGTAATTATCCTAGCTAGATTTGGGCCTAGTCCCACCGGTAGGGGACAGATGTGGCATGGCAGAGGCCCCTGTGGATTATGATTTATGTTTTTAGTTACTTTCCATTTTGTAGCTTCATTATGAGGCCACTTTCTTGCCCCACGAAAATCCTAACTCCCAGCAGGCTTTTTTTGGACTTCATTTCAGGGCAGTGGTTGCCTCCCTTAGCCCATGCTGCCCTCTTCTTCAACAGAGTATCACCTCAGTTACTTTATTTGGTGGATGTGAGACAGAACTGTCCCTGGCTCCCTGACTCCTGGCAGCAGGGGCCCCATGTCGTCATCCTCTCACACACCCCCCCACAGCCCCTCTCTGCCATGGGGCCTGACTCCGTGAGCAGGAAGGATCCAGTGTCTCCACAGGCCCATCCTGTGCACGGTCCTGAGAGAGCTGCTGTGCCTGGGAAGACGCCCGGTGTGTCTGAGTGCTCTCTAGAGTAGCTTCACCCCACCTGCTTCAGGAGAGATGGGGGCCCCTTAGGCTAGACCCACACATCGGGGAGTTCACGGACTCTGCTCTCCACACCGCTCCCCACCCCAGCTCTGTTGGTCCGGGCCCTGGCAAGCGGAGCAAGTATTCATTTCTCTGTCTCTCTCCCCATCCTCCGGCCTGCAGGTGTTTGAGGAACTGTGGCGCAGTGAAGGGAAGACTCCCTCGCAGATTGTTTCAGAAAAGCAGCTTGAACTGATGCAGGATCAAGAGGCTCTGGAACAGGCCTGCCACACTGTGATGGAGGGGCACCCTCAAGTGGTAATGATCACCTGCAGCACGGAGCGGGCCTTCCTGGGCAGCCGGGGCCAGGGCCCACCCTCCTGGCCAGCACAGGGCCGGTGCCAGCCTGAGCACTCAGCGAGGAGCCTCTCCACCACTCCCCTTCGCAGCCCAGAGGCACTTCCTAATAAGGGCTGGCCCGGGTACATCAGAAGTCCCTAATAAATTCCATTCGTCTTCAGCTCAGGTCAAGAGCTGAAATTAAGTGAATATTAGAAAAAATACAACTTTTCCTATACGGAATATCCACCCCTGGGGTTTAATCTCATGGAGCTGGGTTTACAGGGGTGTTTATCAAGCTCACTAGATCCGAGCTTTGACCTCCCAGCATGGTGTGCTTTGAATCGGTTATAGCTAGCTCTGCTTTCTAAGAGACCTCTCACTGACAAACCAGCAGGCATGACTGCAGAGAGGGAAGAAAGATAGGCAGACACTTTAGCCCCCTGCCTTTAAGAGGCGGAAAGAAAGGCAGAAAGGGAAATGATTTGTAAATTACGGAGAAAATCCTTGACAGAGGAGCGTAGCTGAACACCAAGTCATTTTGTGTTCTGAGCATAGAACAAAATATAAAAGCTAAAATGAGTACCATCGTTCCCTCCCCAAGTCCAATCATATTGTCTAGAGATTTTTTAGTGGGTAAAAAATTGCTAGCATCTCTTTCAGAATAATATCCACCCACCCATCAGCTTGCCAGGGACACTAACAGCTCTGAAAAGAGCTCTCGATAAGGTAAATGAGCTTGCGCTGGGTCTCAGCAATCTCCATCTCCCTGCCTCATCTGTAGTGACTGATAAAGACACACTTTCCAGCTTGGACTCATTCTGTAGCACTTAGTGCAGATACCCAGGGATGTCATTACCCATCGAGATGTGACAGAGCAGAAGGTCATGGTGGGTGGCCCTGACAGTCCATGGCTGTTGGATAGGAATCTGGAGCCTCCTGCTTTTGTTGTCCCCATCTTGCCCACCACAGTGCACTCCGCAACCCAAGTGCCCCCGGAGAATTGCCCTGTGGTGGATTTGTTTTCTGATAAACACATCTTCCTGGCAGGGAGTTGGGGGCAGAAGGAAAGCCATGCATTTCAGTGTCTGCTGACCTCCACTGGGGGATTAGAGAAGGGCCTCGCTCCAACTACACCAGATCATTCATCTTTGGTTACTCACCCCCAAGACCAAGAAGCTCCGTGTCCTCATGTCAGTGCAGTGCCCAGGACAGCACCCTTGTCCCCATGTGCCAGCTCTCACTGTAGGCAGTCACTCGTTATACGTCACAGCCCTCTTGTCCACTTTCTCAAAAGGCACCATGGCCAACATCCTGTGACAGGAGCCCAGATACCTCCTCAGAAGATCACCCCCTCCTTCTTCCTTGTCTCATTTTATATCTAATACTAACAGAAAAGAAACTGAATTTAAGTTTCAGTAAACACAAACCTTAACTTTGCATTTTTAGGTATGCATGTCATTATTTTCTTCTCTAAAATAGTTTCTATCTTTAAAGGTAATGGACGTGAAGAGGGGGAACCCCAGAGCTATAAACAAACTGATTGGGTTGGTCCGAAAAGCAACTCTCAGCCGAGCAGACCCAACTGCAATAAAGGAGATCCTGGAGAGGAAGCTGTCGCCATGAGCCATCCCAGGTCCCTCTGTGCCCAAGGGAGAACAGAGCGACCGTGACTGAGAACTGGAGCCCATGACACGTGCCATCCAGTGGCTGGACATGCCAGTGCCTCCCAGGCCCCAGCCACGGGATGCCACCTGCACAGACAGCCCGGCTGCCTCTTGGACATCAGACTGGTTCCAGCTGCGTTGGTGGTAAAGAAACAGCACATTTCCAGTGCTCAGTGATGCAGAACTAAGTGAGACCCTGTTTCAGAGGCTGTCACCGTTCTAAAAGAACTTTTCATTCGTTGGCATGCAGTATTTTAGACCTGAGAGTAGAGGAGTGGAGCAAAAAACCACCACAGAATTGACACGTTGTGAACATACATCAGTCTCAGGAGGCCTCGTGCAGACAGGAAGGAGAGTGTTAGTCTTCCTTACATTCCCTCATCCGAGGACTAAAAGTGACGTGGCCCGTTGAGCTCCCTAGGGATCCTGGAAGGTAGAGGTCTGAGAATTAAGTGAAAAATTTTTTTGAAAAAAAGAACAAAAAAGTTTTCAAATAAATTTAATGAATAAAATATATACTGGAATATCACATAAAAAATTAAGTTACACTTCAAAGATTGTACAGTTGACAACTACCTCTCCCCAACCCAGGCCAAAGAAAGATAAAAAGGGGGGAAAAAAGCTGTAACATTGATTTGTTTTGCCTGGGAAGAATAAGATTATAAGCTTACGTACATCAGAATCTCGACCTTAAACAGGAATCGTGATGCTGTTAACAACTTCTTCATGAAGGGTGGGCCACCTTCACCCCGGTGCTTGGGACAGAAATGCACTTCTCTTTCCTGCACCCGAGCGCCCCTTTGCGCCCTGAGTGCCTCTGTTCCCTCTGACTCCCCACACGTAAGGACCAGTTTCCCAAAGGCTGCTCTTTAAAAGCACATGTCAAACTGGCATCAGGAGAAGAACAGACTCTTCGGAGTCTCAGATTTTGCACTGACTCCCCTAGCTGCTAAGGAGAATCCGAGCATTGCCCTCACAGACGGGGCTGCTTTGGCAGCTGGGGGCCTTGGAGACGAGCAGACCTTCCCTATAGTCAGTGTAGCAATGAACCAGGCTCCAGCTGCCGGCCACTGCCCCGGACTTCCCTACCTCAGAGTGGCACGAGAACCTCCGTCTGACCTAGCCAGAGAAGCAGAAACAGAAAGGAAACCAGTTGTGTGTGGTTTATTCCAGACAAGCATGAAGAGGTAAGGTTTTAAACAAAAACTTACAAAAACCACGAGTGACTCAGAATATTGTGAGAGGAGGTGTTCCCTCACCAGGAGGCCTTGTAGCCTGAATACATTCTCTTCAATACTGAAAACTACTAGACCTAGAACTAAGATATTTTTTTTCCTTTTCCAGAGGGAAAGAGTCCATTCTCTCTCCTCTCATTGCAAGTCTGAATTGTAAATGGGCAAGACAGTCTGAGACTGGATTCTGGCAGGATCGTTGTTTTGTAAGAAATAATAGGGTTTGGTTTTGTTTTACAAACTCCCATTTTCACCAAAGGTCTGGCTTCTTGGACATCAAACTTCACAGAAGCCACTGGGGGATCTTTCCAGATCATTTTAAATCAAGGCCTTGCTTAAATGGGTGATGGGGGTGGGGAGGCATCTGGATGGAGACAGTTTACCAAAACTGTTATATCCGATGTAAACTGTACCATGAACTGATCACTTCCAGAGAAAAATGCCATCATGAGAACACCTGATCTTTATGGTGATGACTGTCCACCTCTGACAGCAGCCCCATGGTCTCGAATGCCCACTTCTGAAATCCTGAATATTGGACAGTTAATGTTGTTACAACTGCTAATAAAAAAAGTGAAATCAAAGCATAGCTCAGATATCATCCTTGGAACCTGACTGTATATTCAAAGATATGTTTGCATAACAATGTCAGAAATTCACAGAGTATGGCTCTGCTCATAAACAGACCTGAAATACAGTTTTAAATACGTCTTTGCATGAGTGAGAATTCAGTCTGCTTCTTTGTTTGCTGTTCCAATGAAAATCTCATTAAAATGTAGGAGTGGTGTCCTCAGTAAAGCCATTGCCATCTGTCATTGGAATCCACACACCTATAGGCTGAGGGGGGATGCGCTGGAAAACTGGCTCTTCCCCAGGTCAGCGTGAACCTGCTTTACCTGGCCATGCCCAAACCATGTGTTCTGTTACTTGAAAAGGACGTTGGTTGGTTCTGGTGGGAGGTCAGGAACGCCAGCCTCAACACTCAGCACACTACCTGGCACAGAATAACTTTAGCAAATGTTGATTAAATTTATAAAACAAAATTAGCAGACAGCCTTTCGTGGGGACTTTTGGTATGAGAGGTTGGTGCTGCCAACAAGTAGGCTTTTAAATTCTGGACATCTGGGTCTGGGAAGGAGCTTCTTGACTCTGTCCAGGCTTATGTATCAAGGTGAACTTCTCTTACTATCTTTCAAAGTATACATGCCCCAGGAAGAGGAAGCTAATTGTTATTTATACCAAGTTTAGCAAGTTTTAGCTGAGCTTACACACGTACACTTTTGTAATTATTGCTTATCTGGAATAAGGCAATGGAATTTTTTAAAGTACACACCCTCCTAGAGCTTTGAGTTGATTAACTCAATACACAGCTTATGGGAATGACCCACAATTCATATCATCTTTTTCATTTCTGTTGAATGTGCTGCACCATTTCAAGGATTCTACATAGTGACTCTTGGGAAAAAAACACACACTGAGTCTGTCTCAAAGGCCACGTTATTTACCCAGTACCAGAAGCAGCACAGAAATGGCCACCACGCTTCTCTAGCAGATCTTAGACAAACGTATTCATGGGTTATTTGTGAACGTGGCTGACCTGTAAGTGAAAAATGGATAGAATCTGATTGAAATTCTGTCTCATTGCCTCCCTTAGTCAAACAATTTAGCAAAAATCATTTAAGTAAGATCAACACCAAATTCCCTCTTAAAAATATCTCCAGGGCAGAAAGGGACCTTGTTATAGGTCTTTTGCAGACTTGTCCCAATAAAAAGTCAGCGGACACACTCAGAAGCACGGACTTTTGCAGCCTCAGCTCCACGAAATTTATAATCTGGCCCAAGAGCTTCCATCACCCTTGTCAGGTTCTGAAATGACATAGTAAATTTAAGCTCCCCAAAGGATGCCTGAATAACACATTGAACGCATACCGACCATGCCTATGGGCGGTCTGGTAACTTGTGTGGCTGACAGTGAGTTAGGTATACTCACATGTCTTGAGATGGGAACAAAATACACAACGACCCAATGGGATGGGAAGGGTCAGTCCTAGCTAAAATGATCATCTTTCTTAGGATCCTAAGTACAGGCACCAAGGAACTAAAGGCTTCCCCCACCCCGTCCCCATCTTCCTCCCTGCAGAACCTCACCAAAAGTCTTTCACTAACACTATGTTTATCCAGTTAACGAGCTGCCAGGGTAATCTGTTCTCTGAAACAAGTAATGGCCTAACAAACGCCTGAACATAGGATTCACTGAGGCAAAATTGCCCAAAACAATTCTTAGTCTTCCAAAGAGCTTGTTCTAAATCAGGTTTAGAGGGAAAAAAGAAAATCAACTCCATTTTCTTTTTTTTTTTTTTTTTTTTCAACTCCATTTTCTAAAAATGCTTCCTCGATGATGTGATTTAAGGCTGGAGTAGAAACCAGTTCTACAGTGTTCTGTGTTAGGCTGTGATCTGATGGACAGTGAGGGCTGTGTGGTTGACAGAATGAGGGCTGAAGCGGGAAGGGACCTGCGAGGATCTTCTCAGTGACTGAAAGTGGGGGTGGCCCCAGCTGCCAGAGGACCACAGCTTCCAGGAAAAGCCAACACTGCAGAGCTGGCTGAGATTCACAGCAAGCCACAGGTACACCGGCCCTGGCCACTGACCTGAAGGAGCACGTGCAGGAATAGATGTTCTGCAATAGAATGTTTCATAAAAATGGCAAGCTGGAGAGCCATGTCAATAAATGCAGGGCCGGTAATTAGCAATTAATCCGAGCTGCCCTTAAATGAGAATCGGAGCTTATGCTGGACACACTTCCCGTAACACCTGCGCCGTGGCCTCCACCCCCACCCCCATGCAGCCCCTCCCTCCCAAGAGCTAGGCACCCGGATCCGGACTGAGAATGCACAGCCCTTCCACAAGCCCGCACCTCGGAACAGAGCTGGACATCAACCCAACATGACCACAGTAACCAAGCGCATTCAGAGACGTCAAAACAGCTTTCCACCCTGAGTACCACTGGCTGCCCAAATGGAACAGGCAACCCAAATACTCTTGTGTCCTGTTTTTGGAGCCTGTTCCCGCGAGGTCGCTCTCCTGACAACACCACGGCTCCACGAGGTCTCAGTAGATTGGAAATCAACTACATCTGGTCTAAATTAAAGCCACTAGCCACAAAGGTACTCCTGGGAACCCAAGAAAGACCTGAACTCGCCCTCCCTATACACGATAGAGACCTCAGTTCCAACCCATCAATACATCAAATTATTTTCCAAGACAGTACAAGGCAAATGGGCAGCAGTTTCATGATTCCTTTAAATACCGAGGAAAGGAAGTTATCTACTGATAACGAAAATCACATCTCTTTAACTGGTTACTCCAGCATCCCCATTTCATGGCTGGGGAATTGTAATGTATCCCCCAAGAAACCGTATTTTAGGCTAAACTCACCTGGAATTTCTTTGCCTGAAATTTTAAAAACATTTACTTGGTGATTCCAAAAGTCAATTTTAAATATCCCATTGCTCGCATATACTCTGAATCATAAAATTCACTCTATCTAGAACTTTACCTCAGACCCAGCATTATGAATTGAAATTTATGTGTGAGGTTCCAGGAACCTTCCAGTCACTTTTACTGCCCAGGACCATCACGCTAGACACGCTAGACGCCAACCTCAGGGCTGCGGCAAAACTGTGCCCTCCAGCAAGTACCACAGCGTCTGAGGGGGAGCCGGCCACATGGAGAAGTGACCACATTCTGTGACCACTTTTTAAAGCATGCCAGTATCTTCACAGATTTTCCCCAAACATGTGACAAAAAACAAATTTCTAAGGGCCTCACCTATTACTTTGTTTGGAATATTCTACTTCCTTATTTTTTCCCACCAAGGCGTTCCCATCATCACCCACCTGCTGTACAGTATAATCAAATCAAAGCTCTTTCCTCCGAACCCCTCAGGATTTGTCCTTCTCCTGTTTACAGCTTCAGGACTCTGCTATTTCTCCTTTTATGTCCACACCATTCTCTGAACCATCCTCAGCTAAGCCACCTGGCTGTTTCCCTTGACCGTGTGGGGTTTTCCAAGTCTCCATAATGTATTTCCTGGTCACATTTCTGACTTCATTTTGAAAACCCCTGAACACAATACTCTGGAGGAGGCCTATACTGGATTCAGAAAGATGAACCAGTCCCCAACTCCAAATAGGGTTATCATGTGAGTTTGCTACCAGCGCCCCCCCCCACACCGCCACCAACAGCGCAGAAGTTAATTTTCCTGCCTCCCACCCCAGACACTAGTCAACCCTGTCCTCCTTTAAGGTAAGTCTAGTTCAGTACCTATTTTTAAAAATGCTAGGAGACACAAAAGCCATCTCTTTCCTAAAAGGGCACCTTCTACTCGAGGCTGTGGAGTTCTATGATAAAGCAACACAGACTGAAGAAGAATGAATGCCAACACCAGATAAGGGAGACAGGTGTGCATCACATCAAAAAGCTAAGAAATATACTTTTCCAGGTATGACGTTTGCATTTTACATACCTGGTATGTCCAAACTGGAAGATAAACACTTGTGCAAAACAAAGCTAGAGGAAAATAAATTACAGCTTAAATTCCATCTTCCTGTCCCTTTTTCTCTACCGTAAGTCACCTTCTTTTCCAGGGGAGAGCTGGGGGTTTGCCAGTACCAGTGAGTGCCAGGAAGCCACAAACAGGCCAGTCTGTTGGGCCACAAACGTTCCCACTGCGGACCACAGCGGGGCAGACCATTTTTCAAGACAGACAGATGTGAAGCCAGAATCGGACATCTTTGGTTTCTTGCTTGGACTGGGAAGCACTGGGAGGCTGGCTTGTAAGAGTCTCCTAGCCCAGACCAGGTCTCCTGGGGCCCTCATTCCAGGGGCTGGCTCTCTCTCTACACAGAGCTGCTCCAAGATACACACAAGGCAGAGAAGGGCAGCAGTCTCTGCCCTGCGGGGTCTCAGATGTGATTCTGCTGCCCTCCCCCCCCCCCCCATTAAGCCCAGACCCACACTCCTGCACCACCCCTAGGGCTGCCCTCAGGCAGCCCCACCCACAAAAAAAAAAAAAAAAAAGCTGGAGCTTCCAGTTTCCCTCCCAATAGGGAGGCCCATCACCCTTGTTTTGTGCTTCTCACCTGCCCAAAGTGGGGGGGGGGGGCGCTGAATATCCACAGACATCAGCTGTTTATGGTCTCATCTTTAACGCACGGTTATTTTGGTGGCTTAAGGAGACCGGTGCTAAGCATAATTGCACCTCTTGGAGCAGGCAGCCAAGCAGCACAGAGGCGCTAATGCATCATGTTGGGACCTTCTAATGAACCCCATTACTCAGAAGGCAGCACTGCCGCATGCCATGAGTCACCGCCAGGCACTGGGCTTTGCAGGGTTCCCCGTGACCTGTCCACACTCACATCCCAGGTCCCAGAGTGGCCGTCCGGTTCCTGTTTCTCTGCACAGTGCAACACGGGAGAGGACGTGAACAGAATCTAAAATAATCGCCAGTGTTTTTACAAGTTGCATCTAGTTTACCTTTATCCTTTTCCCCCCACTTCATACTCCTGCTGACCCCCCCCACCAAAAAGCCCCCTGTGAAACAGCTTCACCAGTTCATCTGTTTTCCTTTCAGAAAACACTTAAAAAAATAATGATACGTATATGATACCCTGCTTTCTTCATCAGATTAGACTTCTAAAAACCAATGTAACAGTTTGCATAAGTATATTTCATTTTGTGCAAATCTTACTAAAATAAGGCTGTTTCCAGTGCTTAGGTAGTGATACACGGATTAAAGAAAGCTCTCAAGCAACAAGAAAGTCTCCCCGCATTCCAAATTCTCCGCAACTCCATCTGACCTCCCAGCAGAGAGCTGAGACCAGCGGGTTTGCCCGCACCATAAGGCAACGTGTTGGGCAGAGTGCAAACCTTGGAAGGAAAATGCAAAGGGACAGAAGCTATGTGCTTGTGTGATGGAGGCAAGAGGGGCTCCATCTTTATTCTTCCCTTTTATAAAAAGAAGCCCAGATGCAGAAGGCAACGGAGATGGGCCGTCTTCCCTGCTGTTGAAGAGCTTATTAGCCTTCTGACATGGAGTACTTCCAGAAGCTACCAAACCCCAGTTTTTGCTTAGTGTGATCTGAGCTGCAAGAGGAGTGACTCACCGGGATGGGAGGATAACAACCGAAAATCTTGAGGGGGAAGAAAGAAAACCTGCCGAAGAAGCCACCAGCTTATGAGACTGACATTCTACAGAAGGTGGAAAGACCCGGCTAGAGAGAGAGGAGGTAGACAGAAATTCGCCCTCCCCACAAATCAAGTATTGTCAGGAAATATCAAAGTAGAAATTTCTGTAAGCAGCTTTGCATTTAACATTCAGTCAAGACACTAAAACCTTAAAAAACAAGAACCTCTATTTAAAAAAAAAGCTAACAACAGGAGTCCTCAAAGTCACCCAGGATCTTGTAGCACAGAATGGAGTGTTCCTGGGCCAAGGCAGCTAGTTCCTTGAGGAACTCAGGGAAGAGGGCAGCGGCCAGCATGGTGTTCCTCACTGGCAGGGGCAGGCTTGGGGGCACCCCAGCCACCTTGGCTCTGTTTGTCAGGAAGGGCTGAAGCACTCTTGGGGGACCATCCAAAAGGTTCTTGCCGATTCCTGTCCTGGAAGCATCCTGAATGGGATCTGAAACCAGAGAGAAAACAGACATGGTGACGCTCCCTGGTCCTTCAGGCCTGCCCTCTCCAGGGAAGTTGAGGGTTGGGGGGCTGGTGCGCTGTCTGGTAATGGCTTCGGTCCCTGTCACTCAAGTCTCAAGACACAGTCCTGGAGTGCGCATCCCATCCACCCTGCAGCACACACACTTGCAGATAGCCTCCAGCATGGGGCATGTGATGCAAGAGTTTCATCCCGAATCCTGTGCAAAGAACTTCGTACGGGAATTGTGGCAAGAAAATAGGCTGATTAGGAACCTTCCATGCCCAGGTCACGGCGAAGGGAAAACACGTTGTCACTGCATCAACTGGAGGAAGACTTAGCTCACTACAGGTCACTGGGGGAGTCCCGACGCTCTACCTGCTCTTGCCAACCTCCTGGTACTGGGCCGGGGGGAGGGGGGGGCCGGGGCCGGGGGGAGACCATCCTACCGTTACCCGTCAAGCCCTAATCACACAGCACAGCTGCCCGAGACAAGCTGGGTGGAGGAAGCCTCTGGGAGCTCTCTGCAGCTCAGGCCCAAGGACACCCTCAGGACCCCGGTTTCTCGAGGCCAGGACCTCCAGGCCTTTTTGGAGGAGAGAATGGAAAAAGCCTTTTAAAGGTTGGAAATAACGGAAAGGAGGTTGGGTGCTGGTAAGACCAACCAGACCGGGAAATTTGCATAACTGTGGGCATCTATCTAGTGGCAGCACGTGGCTTGGAAGCCTCCGTTTAAGAAAAGTTTCCAGGGGTTTCCATCTTAGTTTCAGTAACCCGGGTCTGAGATGAGATGAGCCCAAACTTGAATGTATTCAGGTGACTTGCATTTCCATATCAAATCAGCTTTACTAATTAAAATGGTTCAACTTTCCGACTCCTTAATTCTTAAATATCTTCAGCGCTTCATATATTTATAGGAATTATTTATGCCTCCTTCTGCCCCTATTCAAACAGTCTCACCACTCTTTATAAATCATTACATTCAAGTTCTTCATTATTTTGGCTGCTTTTTAGAATTCAGTCCCATTTTTCAACACTCTGAGAAGAGTGTTGCTTAACTATAGTACTAAAAATTCTTGACATTTATAGTACTTTCCACATCTCACTCCTATAGTCTTTAGTGTTAAAAAAAAAAAAACAACTCTTCTGCTTTACTGCTTTAAATATCTTTTAGATTAAAGTTTATCACAGTTCATGCCATAAAAAACTGGAAGAGTTGCTGAGAATCGGTCTGCTGCTACCTTTTAGCGGAAACCCACAACACATCCCGACCACAGAGGACAAAAGTGTTGACGCCACCAATGTACACTGCCCACCTTGGAGACCACCCCCTTCGCACCCCCTTGCCAGCCCCCAGCACCGCAGCTCTTCAAAGGGCCCAGCAAAGCTCACGAAGGAAGCCGGCCTGGAGAAGAGCGCACAGTGGGACTCATGGGCAGTAGTTCCAGGCCAGGATTCCACTTGTGGAATTACCTCCCCCATATCTCTGCACCTCTACAGCTTACTGGCGGTGGCTAAGAAGGGCACAGACTCCTCTGCTCACTGGCTGAGCAACAGTAGAGAGGATGCTTTACCTGTCTGTATTTTGATGTCCTCAGGTGTCAAAAGCTCACAGAGTTGCTTTAAGGATTCAATGAGTCAATAAGCAACTCAACACCAAAAACACAAATAATCCAATTAAATGTTGGCAGAAGACCTGAAATAACGAGACCATGATGAACTATCACTTTACACCTGTTAGCATGGCTAGACTCAAACAGATGAGAAGTAACAAGTGTTGGTGAGGATGTGGAGAAAAAGGAACCCTCATGCACTGTTGGTGAGAAGGCAAACTGGTGCAGCCACTGTGGGAAATAGTATGGAGCTTGCCAAAAATAGAAATGCCATATGATCCATTAAGTCCACTTTGGGGTATTTATTCAAAGAAAACAAAAACACTAACTTGAAAAGATATGTGCACCCGTATGTTCACTACAGCATTATTTACAATAGCCAAGATATAGAAGTTAACCTAAATGTCCACTGATGGATGAATGAATAAAGGTGTAGTGTGAGTAGTGCGCGGGAGGCTCATTTGGTTAAATGACTGCCTTCAACTCAGGTCATGATCCTAGATCCTGGGATCAAGTCCCGCATCAGGCTCCCTGCCCAGTGGGGAGAGTCTGCTTCTCCCTCTGCCTACTGCTTCCCCTGCTTATGCGCTTGCTCCCTCTGACAAATAGTAAAATCTTTAAAAAATAAAAAAAAAAAATTAAAAATAAAGGTGTTTTGTGTGTGTGTGTGTACACAATGGATTATTAGCCATAAAAAAGAATGAGTTCTTGCCATTTGCCACAACAGGGATGAACCTAGAGGGTATTATGAAGTAAGTTAGAAAAAGACAAATGCCATATGATTTCACTTATATGTGAAAGTTAAGAAACAAAATGAACAAAGAAAAACAGACAAAACAGACTCTCAAACACAGAGAACAAACTGGTGGTAGCCTGAAGAGAGATGGTGGGGGGCTAGGGGAAATAGATGAAGGGGATTAAAGGGTACACACTTCTGTACCCCTTATGTAACTATAACTTCTGTTATAAAATAAGTCACAGAGATGAAAAGTAAAGCATGGGAGTACAGTTAATAACACTGTAATAATGGGTGGTAACAGACGGGGACTAGATGTCCCACAGTGACCGCTGAGGAATGCACAGAATTGCTGAATCAATGTTGTACACGTAAAACTAACATAACATTATATGTTAATTATGCCTCAATAAACGAACAAAAAAAAGAGGTTAAAAAGAAAAACCACAATGAGTCAATAGGTGTAACATATACAGGGGCCTCTTAATGGGTCACCCATCAACCATTAACAATTCAACTGCCACTGACTTCACAGAGACTTCCTGTTTCCTGCCCCACAGGCCATCCCCTGCTGGCCTCACGCTGCATTTTATTAACCAGCTAAGGCCTGCATTGCCTCTAGCCTTGTGTTCTTGGGTTTTCAGTCCTCTACCAGACTCTGAGATTTGTGAGAGCCCATAGGTGATGTGTCCTTCATGGCCCCCAGCACGCTTCCTTATTCATAGTAGAAACTAATAAACATTCGCTGAGTGAATGAGGGGAGGAACTAGCCAATATCAGGTCTTCCTTCCAACTAATCTCCCCAGAGCTGGTTCATATGCCTCATCTCCATCTTCTCTTTCACATTCACTCCTCTTTTTCTCCTCAAAAAGGGTTTTTGTGGCTCATTTATCTAGCTTGATCATGAATTCAAAAAAGTGTCACCACTTTAAAAAAAAGTGTCATTACTAAGGCTCATTTACCCACTTGAATCCAAGAATCAAAACTGTCTTCACTACTGAAGGCAAGAAGGTGCACGGTGAGGACTTGCAGGGAGCCCCTTACTGAGGGCTGTGCGATCAGCATAGGAGTGGCCTCTCCATGGGTCACGGAGCGCCACCAAGCTCAGCAGCAAGGAGACCTGAGTCATGGATTTCACCTACCAGGCACCTAGCTGATCATACAACGTCTCCATTTCCTCTTCTGTACAATGGAAATACCACCGACCTGACCTCCCCCCCAGAACCAGAGATCTGAAAGGACACTGAAAAGAACTAAATACAAGTAAATACCACCTCTGAGATTTGGTAAGTATTTGAGGGGAAGTGGTAAGTAATTGAGCCCAGAGATCAGCAATCTCAAGGATGACAACGTGACAGCCGGCACTGGAAGTCTTCCCACCCCGGAGCAGAGGACACGGGGACCTGTACTTCTGTTTGAAGCATTAGTTAGGAGGCTCATTTTTCCCCAGGGCTGCCAGGAGCCCAAGGGAACGCAGGACCCAGGGTACAAAGCAGATCTGGCTGCGGGCGCCCAGGGTTCCACTCATCCTAACAGGGTTCAACAAGCACAGACAAGCACCTGAAGAAAAAAGCAGGAAGAGGGGAAGTATGAATAAATGTCCAGATCAGGTGTCGTTTTCTCAAATGTTGCCCTGGGTCTGAAAAGCTGCAACAGAGGGTTCTCAAGACGAATACTAGCAAGATTTCAAAGTGAGGCAAGAAATCCATTTGGTACTCATCCTCCATCCACAGTGTTAGAACCCACAGCTCCCCAACAGTGCGAACCCCAATATTTGGCCCATTACCAGAACTCTCAAGCACGTTCCCGGATTCAACTTGTAAGGACCTATTTTATATTTTTATTTTAGCCAGAGGCTTCCACTGAGGTTAAACAATATACTTTGTTGTTTAACCCTTAAACTGTCCCTGCTCCCCTCCCCTTTAAGTCCCCAGGGGACTTAAAAACAAGTCCCGGAAACCAGCTCCAGGTGTGGAAGCCAAGAAAAACAAGGCTGTACCCACCTCGAGTCTAGCCCTGACATAAGTACGGCCATCTTGGCAAAGCAAAACCTGGCACCTTGCTCTGTAAGAGTGGGTTAGCATAAGAATGGCCATCCTGAAGGCCGGGAAGCCATTTTACTGAGTGTCCCTAACCAGCCCACATGACGCGCACGTAACTTGAGATGAGAGAAAGTAGCTAAAACCTAAGAAACAACTTAATCATATACCACCAGGGCAGTTAGGCGATGGCGCCACAGGGACCAGATGTTAAAGAAAACAAATAGTTAACTTGCAGAGATCACAATCCTGCAAGACAGGAGTCTCCCTTGGTTTGCAAATGTCCCGGTGATTTACAACAAAAAGGGCTATCTCTTCAATGGCCCAATTTCCGGAGACTAGTGGCTCAGTTCCTCAAGGCCTAAGGTCACCCTCCCCACCACCATAACACTGAAGGAGGCTGAGGCAGAAGGAAATGTAAATAAAGCTAAATTTCTTCTAAACCTAAATCTCACTTACCCGCCAGGATGGCGCCAGGGTGACCCTGGGGTGGCAAAAGGTTAAACAAAGTTAAACTGTCAAAGTGGGGTGCAAGATATGTACGTAGCTATGGAAAAGTGCCTTGAAAATGCTATATAAACCCTTGGCTTTGAGTGCTCGGGGTCCTTGTTGAAAATCCGCTGCGCCGGGCAGATACTTAGACCCCAGCTAGCTGGAAATAAACCTCGCTGCGCCACTCTGGGAATCTGAACGAAGCTGGAAGTTTCACCTGAAGGTAGAGGAAAGTCTTCTTCCCCGAGGGAAGCTTCTCACAAGTCAGAGCCCCCTGAACTTCACAGACCTTAGGAAGCGTCAACCCTTGGCTGACTAATTTGATAACCACATGTGGCACAAATGAGTTCACGTTCCCCTGGGCACCTACCTGGCAGCTACTGTCATGAGACCACTGGAAGCCAGGACAGAGCGCCAAGTGTGAGCAATCCCCACCACACCTCACCCCTTCACCACTCACCCAGAATGTGTGCGTCAAGGAGAGCCTGAGAAGCCGGTCGGCATCTGTGCCCTCAGCTCTGCACGCCAGGCAGGCCACTCTCAGGCACTTGAGCTTTGTGCCCCCGGCTGACTACTCCAGGCCTCTAATTTCAGCTGCCTTATCCGAAAACGAAGCCGACAGTACCTTCCTGGCCCACTCCACAGTGCGATTTGAAAATAAAGCGGTCTGGGGAAGCACTTAACAAATTGAAAATTACGAATGAACAATAGCAGACACGGGGTGTAATATAAGGAGACTCGTGTCACCTTCTGTCCACCAACTGCAAAAATGGCCACAATTCTTACAGTTCTTCCCATGGAGAGGCAGAAGGTTTGCTCCATTCTTGAACCCGGGCTCACCCAATGACCTGCCTTGGCCGAAAGAATGCAGCATGTTTGGGTCCCAAGGCAGAGCCTCAGAAGATTTTGTACACTCCTGCTCTGGCTCTTGCAACCCTACAGCCACGATGTCGACGAGCCCTGTCTAACCTCGTGGATGAAGAGAAATACAGACCTCCACCCCCGACCATCCCCATCAGCCCAGCCAGCTACCACCCCTGTGAGTGGGGCCATCCCAGACACCCAGACACCCACCAAAGGCAACACACGTAAGTCCAGCCAAAACCCGCCAAGCCCCCCCGCCCCGATCAGAACCCCCAGGTCACCATGCGCACAGACTCAGGAGTCCCATAAATGGCGTCCTTTAAAGCCACTGAGTTGTTGCCCTGGTTTGTTACGCACGAAAGCTAACACCCCCAGGGTGAGTGACCGCAGCAAGCCCCGGAATCAAGAGGAACATCGCTATCAGACCAGCCATCCATGAGCTAGGAGAAGCCACATGGGGCCCACAGTCCACTCTTCCACGGAGATGTGGGGGCTCCTCCCCCTCCATGAATGGTCTGGCTTGGTCTGCTCTTCTCCAGGGGCCCGAATCTTAAAGGCTGCCCCCTCATCTTCCAGTTGGCTGAGGCCCACCTTCCTTTCAAGATTTGCCTTGCGATGCCCTGAAGGCTCTTCACAGCCAGAAAGGACTGGAGATGGAAAATAAATCCTTCATTTAAAAGTCAAGGAACAGGAGGACCCAGGGAGGGCCAGTGACCAAGATCAAACAGCTGCAGACAAGGTCAAGAGACAAGGTCAAGCCACTAGAGTTCTGGGATCTTTTCAGTTTCCCCTATAGATTTAAAACTGGCCCCAAGTTACATTCTGCTTCTCACTCTCAATCTTGTTTCTGATCACATGCCTTTAGCCTGGGACCCAGAGCCCCACAGTCCCCACTGTTCACCTGCCACAAGGCTGGTGTGTCTGTGTGGGGACAAGCAAAAGCCAGCCCAATACCGGGCATTTCTAGTTTGCCCTCAATTTGGCTTAAGCTGAGGGTCAGAAGACAACTAGGCACCAAATCCGCCCAGCCAGCACTTAACTGAGGCAAACCAGAGGTGCCCCCGGCCTGGCCAGCCCGCAGGACAGCTTCAGGCTCTCTGCTTTGCACCAACCACCGCTCTCCCCTAGCCGGGCCCTCTAGAGCTGACAGAAAGGTGCTCTGGGAAATTATAAGCTGAGCATAAACTTGACTTCTCTCAAGTCCAGGTGAATAGTTTCTCCCTTCTAGAGCCCTCAAGCACATTTATTTGGGGCCTGAGAGTCTCTGAAAACATAATAAAGAGAACTGATGCCCTCCTCAGGGTAGGATCGGCCAAAATATGGTTCTGAGTGTACCCATAATGCCTCTTGCTGGCCCATATGTGCTAAGGTCTTTATTCTAGCCAAGCGACAGCGCACAGCACTCCTTCCCCAATCCACCGTTGGGGCGGGAGACCAAAGGCCTATGAAGCCCTCCCGGCAGGAGCAGGCCAGCTGCATGCAGAGGGATCTCTCTCGAGGCGGAAGGTCACTTGGGGGAAGCCCCTCGCTGTCGGGTAAACAGGAAAACGTATTTAGAGGCTCTGAAGGCCCAGGAGCCAGCACGGCGTCTGCAGACCCCAATCAGGAAGGAGGCTGGGGATGTGGAAGAAGAGCTGGAGACCCAGGGGAACCCCCTGGCTTACCTTTGGTTAGCGACTCGGGGGTCAGGTCAGACATGTCCACTCGGAAGAGCAGGTACTGCTGGGCTTGTATGAGGAGCCCTGGGAAGTCTCTCTCCACGGAAGCAAACTGCTCGATCTTGTTTTTCACCGATGCGAGGACCTGTCACACACGACACTTAATGATGTCAATACTGCACAGTGAAATTCCAGCCTCGCTTCCAATGTATCCCTCAAGGGCAGCCCTCGCCACAGGAACTTTTAGGATATTAGGCGTTTGCTTGCTTTTAACGGCCTGGGTGTTCGTGGTGGGGTACCCTCGAAACCTCAGACTCAACAGGGCTTTGCAATCTGTCTCGAATAATCGACACAACCGGCATACTAGGACGGGGAAGGAGAGCAAATGAAGTAGAACAAGAGGCAAGTGAGAAACAGCCCGATGCTGGAAGACAAGAGGGAGGCACCCCGCCCACGTGCCCCAGTGACTCCGACAGGGGTGGGTGTGGGCTCGGGGACCCACCTGGTAGAGAGAACGCACGCTCGGCTGGAAGACCATGTTGGTGTTGAGCAGAAAGGAGCGCAGGAGCGGCTGGGGGTAGCTGGCCAGCTGCGTGATGATCCCGATGAGCAGCAAATTAACGTGGAGAGAGTTCTCCAGCATGTTCTCCAGCTTCGACAGGACCACGCTGATGAAGGGGCCTGCAGGAAAAGCACACGGCCTCAGGGCTGGCCTGGCCCCGGGGACATCTTGCCTCCGCAGCCAAGGAGCCGCTTGGCCGGCTCCCAACCGTGGGCCTGCCGTGTGCAAATCAGACCCAGCCACTGAGGGGGCACCCCAGCGTGTCCCGACGCAACCCAGAACCCAGAACAAACCACCCCCAGCAAGAGAAAGCAGACACACACGCATGGGAGCTGCTAGTTTCACTCCATGAGCAGCTCGGATACTTGGGAAATTATCACAACCCTTGACAAAGGCCAGAGGACAAGTAATTTCATTTTAGAAATTAAAACCTACTTCTCCGTCCTGCTGCTGGCTTTCCGGGGACTGCCAAACTCAAAGACACGGTGCTCCTCACCTCAGGAGGGCACGTACTGGGGTGCTGTGTGTATGTACATTTTAGTAACAGAAAAAGCTTTTATGTTAGTAAATAATACCAAACACATAGAACTATGGTACAAAACAGCAGCACCATAAACAGTACGCCATCAGCAGGGACTGTCTGTCCCCAGTGAGTACCAGGAGAAAGATTCTGTCTCATCAAATATCACAAGGCAGAAGAACGGGAGGAAGGGACAAGCCAGGGCTGAATGAGGCCTGGGCCGTAACTTTACTCACTTTCAGAAGGTAAAGTTTGAGGTGTCACAGGTTCCTCAAGAAAGAAAAGCTATAGGACTACAAAAGCCACTCATAAATAATTAGGCAAAAAGGAGCTTTGATCAATTTGGATCACTAGAAAATTAATATGCTTTATGCTGGAATTCATTGAAGAGAGTGAAAAATCAAAAAAATTAATCTGGCATTAACAAATGACTTGAAGATGTTTTCCATTTTTACCATAAAAGTGATCCATTAAGCAAAATGAAGGAGTATTCTGTATTTCCCCCAGCAGAGCTATGGATGGTGCCTGGAAACCATGGCATATTTCTAACAAAAGCACATCCCCCTTGATGAATAAACGTGCCTTGTGAAGATGTCACCAACATTAATACGAGTTTAACAAAAACATACTTCACCAGAAGATGCTTCATTCGGAAGCCTTGGTGGTGTGAGAGAGTAAAACCCTTTACAAGAAAACAGAAGACATCCTCAAGGAACAGCAACACCAATCTTAAACCCTTACCCGTCCAAGCAAGTAACAGACAAGGGCAAGACTCCCATCGCTGCCATGACAGGGGTGTTTCTGTAGGGGACTCGAACAAAAAAGGGACCAGCCCCTTGTGTGTTTACATTAGCCTCAACTTCCCCACCTCTGGGATGGGACAGAGCTCCTGGGTCCCATCGCACAACACGGGTGTTCAGTGACCTCTTCAAATAGAGAGCCTTGGCAGAGGCCTTGCTCACAGAACACAGCTGGGAGGCTCTGTCGAATACAGTGCAGCCAGAAATGGGATTAGATCCCACTTTGTAAACAACTTCATGGGGCTTCAGCAAAACCCCCAGAAATGTCACTGGTAACTCTTCTTAAGACATCACAATTCAAGCTGGCCAGATAGATGGACAGGGAGAAGGCGGCTGCCCTCCTCTACTCAGCCCAGCCTTTTCTGACTTATCCCTACCCCCAACCCCCTTACCCCACCCCGACGCCCCTGCAGTCCCTGGCTCAGGCTCTGTTTCCCTCCAGAGGGAGCAAGAATGGGTGACCTAAGTCATTTCAGGTGGGCAGAATCTCCCATAAACATGTGTTTGACGTGCGCCCACAACTGCCCTCCCATGGCCCAATGCCACCCTCGGCCTACGGGGCCACCCTGCTCACAGGAAGGCGGCTGAGTGCACAGGGCCAGGACAGACCAGCTCCAGTCTGCCGCTCCTTCAGGGGGGGACATCCACCCAGCCCCCTGTGGAATGTGAGTGGCAACACCAGCTCCCTTGCACAACAGATCATTAGGTCAAGGCCAGCGACTGTCCTAATGCACTAATGACATTAATTATAATTTTTTACCATGTGCAATAAGAAACATATGTGGAACCCTTTCAGTTTCCCCTTTTAGTCTCAGTTGATTTCTAGCACTTCAAAAAAAAACTGCTTAGCAACAAACAATTGCTAGGGGAAACTCATAAGCAGCTGAAAATCAGAAAAAACTCAGATACAACTCAGAAAGCCACAGCTGTGTTCCGGGCTGGACAGCCCATTTCTCCTCCTCCTCCTCTTCTAGGACAAGCAGACTCCCCACCGTGTGTGTGTGTGTGTGTGTGTATGTGTGTGTGTGTGTGTGTGTCTGTCCTGGTTGGTTTGGGGGTTTTACCTGACCAAATGACAACACTCTCCCCACACTGCTCTGCCTCTTGCATTCCCTCTAGCACGGAGCAACCTGTCACCTTCATCTCAAGGCCACAAGCTATTCAGTTGCCTTGGGTACATTAGTCAAATGGTCTCCTCCTAGTGGACATGTGGGTTGTTTCCAATCTTTTTCTATCATAAACAACACTGCAGTGAACACCTTTGTGCATATGTCTTGGCACACAGGTGTGCATACAGCCCGTGACATGTTCCCAGGAACAAAGCACTAGGGCATTCTGAATTCTGATCCAGTGATAAACGTCTCCCACCTGCTCTTCTGACAGCACCTCACCCCCTGCAGTGAGCTCCAGGTGGCCTTGCACACACAGACCAGTCTCGTCACTTGTCAACTGCAATACTCCCAGGCCACACACAGCCCGTTACTCAGCTTAGCCCAAAGACCTCCCCACCACCAGCCCCATCTCACTTCCAGAGCTTTCTGGCTTCCCGTCTCAAACACCTCACTGCCTCACCTGACACACCCATGCACACATGGCCAGGCTCCTTCATCTTCTGACCCTTGTCTCCTCTGCCCAGGGCAATCCTTCCCGGCCATTTTTACCTGGCAGCTCCTGTCCCCCGTTTGTGCCCCTTCTCCGGGAAATCTTTCCCATTCCCCCCACTCGGGGCTCCCCTAGAGAGTGGCAGACAATCACTAATAATGCATTTCTAAGTGAGTACAGTTCTTTGTCAATGCCTCCTCTGAAAGCCTGGGAATTCCTTCATTTTTCTGTCTTTAGCATCTTGCCTAGAACCTGCCAAGTATTAGGAGATAAATCAAATGTTACTGAATGCACAGATAAAGTAATTAGATAAATGAAATGGAATGCTTTGATTTTGCTGAGCAGTGAATTCATTTCAGGGGAAATCAGGATCCCATGGAGGGATGGAAGTTAAGCCTACTGCTACAGCACACTCAGAAGTTGCAAAACTACAAAATTAGGAGGAAAGATGTTTTCCTAAAGTTGTGTATAAATTTCAAAGGAGGAAAAAAAAAGCAAAGTTTTAGTTAAAATTACTTCTATGTATCAAAAACCATTACATTGTGTTGGTTCTCCTGTGTATCCTATACAAAATATTGGTATTTTTTAATAAGGTGTTGTATTAGCTTTTATTTCTTGCCCTACGCTAGACATTGTTTCCTCAATCTACATATTTCCCAGGGCTGAAGCTCCTTTCTAAGAAAGCTGGGATTTCCTGGCATCTCCTTCCGGGAGAGCAACTGCAAAGTGGGGATGTCCACCTGGTCAGAGTCAAGAGGGCAGGCCCCAGGCAAAATGGGGGGACTAGTGCCCCTTCCCCCCCCCCCCCCCCCCCGCCCCGCCCACCCCCCCCCCCCCCCCCCCCCCCCGCACTAAGCTCTCTGCCCCTCCTTCAGGCAGCCAGGGCCCTCCCCGCCCCCACCACCTGGGAAAACTGAGATTATCTAATCCTTCTTACTATGAAGGACTGACTGATTGGATTTTAATTAAAACCCATTCACACTGAAATGTTACCTCAACTAGAACCTCAAGCCTTTTCATTGTGGGATTAAAAGCTTTCTCCCTCTTTAAATAAATTGTCAGGCACCAGTAAATAGATGAATAAATCCTGGAGGAGGGGCAAGAGCTACTTGAAATCACATTAAGCCTTGGGCGGTGGGGGGGGGGGGGGACCAGAAGATAACGTGGTTTCTCCTCTTTGGGGTGACCCAAGCAGGTGGAGCCTAGTATAGACTCACCCAGCTGCTGGCTGCCTGCCAGGGAAGGGCAAGCCTCAGCAGAGGTGGCGAGGGGAATAACAACACACACACACTCCTGCCCCCGTGAGCCCATTTCGGCCCCACAGGAGCAATCGGAGGGTTCAGGACCTCACAGCTGCAAGTGCTAGAGCCAGGATCCCCCCACAGGCCCGACTCCAAGGTCACGGCCTGTCCCTCTGTGAGGTCAGCTCCTAATGGGACCTCTCCTCGCTGCCTGAACACTGTTCAGTGGTCCCGCCCCAGCCTTCCTTGTGTTTGATAAACACTCCCCTCCAGTTCCCTCTGGGAGGCAGATTCGAGTTTTACTAGCTACTATTTCAGGATGTTTTCTATCAATTCCTCAACTGGATCCACTTATCCTGTCCTAGGCCCTCGGCTCTCATATGATTGCTCCTTGTTGTTGGGGGTGTGTCACTGGACATGCCCATTCTCCCCCAGAGTTAAAGTGGTCTAGTCTGCTTATTTTTGGGGAAAGGTTCTGTGATGATCCGAAACGAGCTCTGAAGCAAAGGTGTAATTAATGCCCATGGTCTCTGATGTGTGTACACAGCCACATTTACTCAGCAGGTGCAGAGAACGGAGTGCGGAGAACAACCCAACCCCCGCACCTTCGTGCAGCATACATTTTCGTGAGGGAAACATTCTCATTTCTTCAATACATCCAAAAACACACGTTATGGACAAAAAGTAATTAAACTAAAGAAAATGAGGCTATTAAATAATGAGACTGGATTTTTTGGTGTGGTTTCATCGGTCCCCTTACTTTATCACACAAGTATCATGGGAAGTAGTTACTCGACTGTGTAATATATCCTCTGATTGGCTGTGGTGGTGGGAGGGGGGGAGACTGCTAGAACGACAGGATAAAATAAATTGAAAACGAAACCACCCCTCTCTGCTCTTCACGGAAATACTTGGACCCCCTCTGTTAAGAAAACTGATAATGCTCCTTCCCTCCCCCTACTTCCCTTTCCTGTCACGATACCTACACGTATTTTCAAAAGCAGAACTCAGAAAGCAATTCAAGATCATCACCTGTGAATGGGGTGCTCTGAGTCCTCACAGGACGGTGACTGGCAAAGGCAGGCTCATCTCTCGCCCCAAACGGGGATGGCACGGTATCCGTGGTGGGGGTTTCTGCTATAAAAGAATCAAAGTCGTCCTCTTCCTCTTCCAGGGCCTTCTTCCCCTCTTCTGCTTCCTCCTTTTCTCTTTCACTCTCTTCTTCCTTCCCCTTTTGCTCTTTCGAGGGATTCAAGAGATCAGGGGAGGGGAACTTCTGTTCTATCGAGGCCTCGGTGCCAGAATCCAGTTCCTTAATGATTTGATCATACTGGGCAATGAAATCGTCAGCCCCCGGGTTCACCTCCATTGGGTCTGAATTGTGTTCCACCTCGGAGAGGGGAGGTGCTGACTCGGAGTTCGATTCTAGGGCTGTCTCAGGCTCGTCTTCTTGTTTCGTTTCCTCGGATACATTTTGAAACGGGTCTGAACTGTCCCTATTCTGTTCCTCCTCTGAGTCTGTTTCTGACTGAGCACGGGGCAGGGGGCCGTTGCTCAGGGTGGGGGCCCAATCGTCAGTCTGGGCTGGGCTGGAGGGCCTTGCGCTCCCCTCCTGGGAATCCCTCGTCTCCTCAGCATCCTTTTCGGCACACAGCCTGTACACCATCACATCATCCTGAAAGTCAGACTCCTCAATGTAGGACCCTTTGAAGAGCAGGATGGCGTTCTTCTTCATCTCCTGGATGTGTTTGGGGGGATCGACAGGTGCTGGAGGGCCTGAATTCTCCAGATCATCGAAAGGCCCAGGGGAACCTACGTCTGCCCCCGAGGAGATGCCCGTGTCGTAGCTATCATCCCACTCCAATTCTGTCTGGCTCTTGTCCTTTCTTGGAGCCAGCGCGGGGCCGGTCTTCCTGGGGAGCTGCTGTGGGAGCCGGAACACTGGATAGGTAGGGGTGAGAGCACTGTCCTCTGTCAGACCCTGGCAAAAGGTCTCAGGGTCGGGAGAGTCTCCGTCATACAGGGCGGACCAGGCTCGGCAGTCCCTCATGCAGCAGAGGATGTTGGCGTGGGCCTCCCACAGGTACTGCAGGTAGCTGACGTCCAGGGCTTTGCCGTACTCCACGATGCAGGCCGACGGAGAGAACGCCTCAGCTGGTGGCTGCTCGGCGGTCCCTGCCACGGGAGGCACAGACACATTAGAATGAGCCCCTCTCTTGCCCTTACAAGAGTTGAGGTGACACAGGCAGGGGACTCAGGTAAGACTCACTCGGGTGCTAAGATTCTGTCTCACCAGCTACTTTAGTTCTAATAATTTCTGATTAAATGATTTCTGAATAATAAAAAAAAAATTTGTTTTTTGTTTTTGTTTTTGTTTTTGTTTTTTTTGTATTTATTTATTTGACAGAGAGACACAGCGAGAGAGGGAACACAAGCAGGGGGAGTGAGAGAGGGAGAAGCAGGCTTCCCACCAAGCCGGGAGCCTGATGCGGGACTCGATCCCAGAATCCTGGGATCATGACCTGAGCCGAAGGCAGACGCTTAATGACTGAGCCACCCAGGTGCCCCAAAATATTTGTTTTTAAGAAAGAATGCTAAGGGGGCGCCTGGGTGGCTCAATTGGTTAAGCTTCCAACTCTTGATTTCAGCTCTGGTCATGATTTCAGGGTCTTGGGATCAAGGTCTGCATTTGCTTGAGATTCTCTCTCTCCCTCATTCTTCTTCTGACCCTCTCCCCATCATGCTCTCTATAAACAAATAAATAATCTTTAAAAAAAAAAAAAAGAAAGAAAGAAGAAAGAATGCTGGGAACAGAACCCCTACCCTCAGCACAGCCTGAAGAGACCTAGAACTCCACCATTTCTCCTATGGCGGGTGCTTTACCAACACTAATTGCTCCTCCCAACAGCCTTCTATGGCAGATAGCATTGGCCCCATTTACAGACAAAGAAACTGAGGCTCAGAGACAGAAGATCTGTTTGAGGGCAACCTCTGTGCTCACTTCGTTCGATGCCGCACATTTGCAAGCATCTTTGTCTCTTTGTCACCTAAATCTCTAGGAGGTGGGGCCAGAATTGGAGATGACATGACCTGTCTACCCGCCTGCCTATGCAACCATCCATCCATTAGGGCACCCATGCACTGGAAAGCACCCCAAAAGAACGTGGAATTGGGGATCAGAAGACCTATCAGCTTTGAACCCTGGACGGGTCACTTCCTCTGAGTACATCTTTTCATCTGTAAAATGGAAGCACTACTTTCTTCACAGGATTAAGGAAAGAACGTGGCCAAAGTTGGGGGCACTCAGCCATTGTCTGCTTAACTTAAATTTCGAATTCTGCAGCAAGGTCAGCCCCAGAATCATTCTTGAAACAACTTTCTTAGTAAATAAAAAAGACATCAATTTTCAAATAGGTTCTAAAAGCTCACTACTGGTGGGAAAATAGAAGATATCTGTACTAGCACCTAAGAGGAAAGTATCTTTAAAATACAACTTGTTCCCGTGTCACATAAATTACTAATTTCCATGACACAGTGTACCTTTATTTAAAGAATCCGTGTGACAACCTTAATTTGTAACATTTACACTGACACCAAACACCCTGATATTTTCTTAGTCAAGGAGCTCACTCTTAGACGAAACTTGCTTTATCGGACAGGACGGTACCTGGGTAGACAGGATGACATTGTTTGGGGGGACATCAGAATACAAACTGCAAACACCGGGGTCAGTCCCAGAGCTGGACTCTTTCCTAGCGGTCACAGGTCAGGCAGAACCTCCCTGAACCGAAACAGCCTTCTGACCACTAAGCATGAACAAATCCCCCTTTGTTACAGCTGCCTGCCTGAGACCAGGCTGATCCAGGGACCAATTAAAGTTTACTTGCATAAGATCAACCGTAGCTGGCAAACAGCGCAAGTACTATAACTCCTATTTTTTTTTTTGAAAGATTTTATTTATTTATTTGACAGAGAGAGATCACAAGCAGGCAGAGAGAGAGGAGGAAGCAGGCTCCCCGCTGAGCAGAAAGCCCGATGCGGGGCTCGATCCCAGGACCCTGAGATCATGACCTGAGCCGAAGGCAGCGGCTTAACCCACTGAGCCACCCAGGTGCCCCTATAACTCCTATTTTTAAAAAACAGAATATTTGTGTTATTTTTTTTTTTTTAAAGCCCACTGTAGGTTAATCAAATGAATCAGATACTGCTGCCATCTGAAAATTTCTTTTAAGGTTTTATTTATTTAACAGAGAGAGAAAGACAGCAAAAGAGGGAACACAAGTGGGAGAGGGAGAAGCAGACTTCCCGCAGAGCAGGGAGCCAGTCGGATGCAGGGCTCGATCCCAGGACCATGAGATCATGACCTGGGCCGAAGGCGGACGCTTAATGACTGAGCTACCCAGGCGTCCCTCATCTCACAAATTTTAAGTTTTACAATGATATGTTGTTGGCAGTCAAGCATCCACAAATGAGTCATTTTGGAAATTAAAATAAAGGAAATTAAAATCTTAGCTAGAACCATCTCCACACCCCCACCCCAATTCTGTTTAAAAAGACCTGCTGGTACATGTTTCTGTATCTGTGCTCTGAGGAGGCCACCAGGAAGCCCAGTTAAAATAAAAGTCTGGGAACACTGACCCGGGGACTGGTAGGCATCCCAGTGCACATTGATTACAAAGTGGCTATAACTCCAGACGCAGAAGAAAACCACCAACCACCCAGGGATTCATAAAAGAAATGGGGCCCAGGACATTATACCCTGTCTGCCCAAAGAGACACACACCCCGAGGAGGAATGACACCTGGCATCCTTCCATTCACTAGCCAGGGCCCTTTACCTGCACTATCATGCGTCCACTTCGACCAGAGAATATAATCCCTCTCCTGGTTGCCAAGCGTCAACGTGATCCCGCTGGAGCAGCAGACAGGGGTCAGGGCGAGCAGCTTGGCCGCAGACACAGAGTAGCAGTCTCTCTCCTTCACGGCCCACCTCTGGCTCAGCATCATGTGGTTGCAAGGGATCAGGTACCTGGAAGGACAACACGGGCTGCGTTCCGCCTCCGTGATGCCCGCTCCCGTCGTCAGCCTAACCCCAGCCGGGGCCAGACTCGTCCTCTCCCCGCTTCCAACCCAGCCGTCCCACCAGCCCCCAGGGATCGCTCCGTTGCTTAAGACCCGCCAAGGGCTTCTTTCTTTTGGCAGAACCCCCACTCTGCAGAGCACGTCAGGTCCTCCGTGCTGTAACCTCCATGAACCGCCTCCCCTCCTAATGGGTCTAAGCCCAGTGTGAACTTCACCCCTACCATGTTCCTCTTTCCTTCCTCACTAATGCCCTGTCATCGCATGAAGTCCGGCTTCAGTGCCTCCCTCTCCAGGAAGGCCTCTGGGCTTCCTGCTTCAACAGAGCCATGGCCTCCCTCTGCTATACTCACCAGCCTCTACCAACGGGCTGTCACCTAGAGTCATAATCACTTCTGTGTCTGCCTCCTCAGTACAACGTGCTACCAGAGCAAGAACCTCCTTTATTAGTTTGTTTTAGAATCCCAGAAATGGTGGCTTATTGTGGGCACTGAATGACTGCAGTTGCATGAAAAGGCAAAGACCTGCTCCACGGTGCACACCTCGTCTCACAAAATACGGTAACTAATGCTGTTCTGGTCGCCGGTTCCAACATGGGGTTTAGGGAGAGGGGGCAGGGTTTCCCCACACCGACGAGCAAGCAATGCAAAGCAAGGGCGTCCTTCAATTCAGCTCAGCTCTGACCTCACCTACCTGGAGACAGCGTCGCATCCCACGGGTTAAGGCTTCAGTCCTACAAGACTGTCCCTACCCCCCAACACATACACACTGCAGAAGACAATCGCCAGCCTCATCTGACCAACCCGCTAAAATCAGAGGTTCCAACAACCTCCCTGCAGTGTCTCAGGGATCTCAGAGAAACATTTTATTTCCTGGATCACTGGTTTGTTAGAAAAGGAGAGAACGCAGGAAGAGTCAGAAGGAAGAGATGCACAGCGAAGGGTGTGGGGAAAGGGCTCAGAGCCATGCTTTCTCTGAGTGTGCCCTTCACCCCACAGCTCCATGTGTGCAACAGCCCAGAAGGTTCTGAACCCAATCCTCTTCGATTTTTAGGGAGGCTTCATCACATAGACATGATTGATTAAATCACTGACCACTGGCAGCAGATTTAACCTCCAGTTCCTCTCCCCTGCCCTGGAGGTCAGGGGAGTGGGACTGAGTTCTAACCCCCTGATCACATGGTTCAGTCTCCAGGCAACCAGCCTCCATCCTTAGATTTGGGTCCTAGTGTTGCCTCATTAACATAACAAACACACCTTTGTTCCTCTGGTCACGTAGGAAATTCCAAAGGTTTTAGGAGCTCTGTGCCAGACACAAGATGTAGACCAAATATGTATTAATTATAAATCACATCACAGTGATCAAGGGCTCACCAAGGAGGACTGGGTCCCCTTTAACAAAAACACTTTGAGTTGGTGATAAAATATCTTAGTATCACTACAAACCTAGAGACAAAAAAATCTGGGCAATGGTTTCTGACTCTTAGAGCACATCAGTAGGCTTCATGGGTAGAATAAAGTTTGCTTAAATGGCTTACTTTCTGAACAGGGAGAAAGACTATCTATCCTGTTTCTTTAAACAAAGATGGAACAAATGGGGTAGAGGAGTCACACCGGAGCCAAGTATCCCGTGAATGTAGAAGCCAATTCCCAAGGACCCGGAGCCCTTCTTTTAACAACCGCAATCTTCAATCAACCAGAATGTTTTTGGTTCTGTTTTTAGCTCTTGAGAAAGAGGCAGTGCCGATGAAAACAAGCCATGATGTAGGATTTGGTGAAAGAGATAAAAGTACACTTTTCAGGGTATGTAGTGAGGCCTGAAAACAACTCTCCCACATCTATTGCTCCAACTGAGGAAACCTACAGATACATTAACGGCTGCCCGGCTGCTGGAGCCTGAGTCAAGGGGGAAAAGAGACTGAATTTGTTTTGTGGTACTTTATACTAAAGGTCTTTTTTTTTTTTTTTTTAAGATTTTGTTTATTTATTTAAAAGAGATCACAAGTAGCCAGAGAGGCAGAGAGAGAGCACAGGGAAGCAGGCTCCCTACTGAGCAGAGAGCACGATGCCGGGCTCGATCCCAGGGCCCTGAGATCATGACCTGAGCTGAAGGCAGAAGCTTAACCCACTGAGCCACCCAGGCGCCCCTACACTAAAGGTCTTAATAACTCTCAAGGTATGAAATGACAACCTTGCCACTTACCCTTCTGTTCTCAAAGAACACCAAGCTGCTCACCCAGTGCTCTGCCCGGGGGTCCCCCCATCTCTCCCCTGCACCCGCAGGCACCAGACCCACACACACCGGACATCTCAACTTGCTGTGGCCAAGACGAAGACAGACCCCACCTGTCTACTTTCTCAAGCTAGAGTGCATGGAAATCAAAGGTCATAAAAGCAGAAAGGGAAAGAAAGGAGAGGGCAGTATGGGACAGGGGGCAGGTCTGTGCTAATTCTTGGCGTCTTGTATCTGAACATCCACGGAGAAGAAACAGAAGTTGTGGGTGGAAGATAAAGGAGTTCTTCTCACAAGGACCTCTGTGAGCAGGGACACTCTGGTGACAGAAGGATGCTGAGGAGAGAAGCTTTCTCGTCTCTGTTTGCATGGGCACAGTGGGGGCCCTGAGGCACAAGGGTGGGCAGTGTAGCCTCAGGAGGGGGCCGGGCTGGGGCGGAGTGAGATGCACCAACCACAGGGGCCTTGGGGCCAGAAGAGGCCATGTCAGACATTGCTGTGGTAATGGCGGTGGGGGACCGACCTGTTCATGACCATGCATTAAAAGCCCTCCCTCAGACCAAGGTCTCGCATGAGGGGTGAGGGTCAGAAGAAACACACCATGTGCTTGCTGATAGGAATTGTTCTGTTCTCACAAGCTGGTGAGGCCCAGGGAAACTCAGATGACACAGGATTTATCGTCTCCTTATTTTCATCATTAATTATTTCAGAAATAAACTGCTTCGACGCTTTCACATACTGCAGGAACTCAATGACAACTTACAGCTCAAACTAAGCATAGTTCATGATTTAAGTTGATATAAACAGATTTCTATTCTTTGTTTGGAAGTATTTTTTTAAAAATGGAACACTGGATCAAACCTAATAAAGCTATTTATCAAATATCACCAGTGGGTAGCGTGAAATTATATTAGAATAAAGAGTTACTGGGAATTTACAGCTTCGCAAACACATGTTTTCAGGAGAAACTAAGAATTTTCTTCTGAGTAAATCAAATAAAGGAAAATTCCTCTATAGGCTGAAGGAGAGGTTCTATCAAATTGAAAATGGAGAGTTAGTTCAAATGGGTAAGCCCCACCCCACCTTGTATTCAAAGCAGTACTTCTAGTGTGTCTCTGTAATGGAGGATTATCCCAGAGGGAAGTGTGGGAAAACCATGCATTGACCTTCTGTCTTCCCAGCATTTACAGGGAAAGACTGGGAACAGAATGAATGTCAGAAGATGCCCTAATGTCAAATATCACAACAAAGTAGCTGTGGATAGCAGAAAAATCACTCAGGAATTCAGTACTGGCGCTTGTCATCAAGCCATCTACCCATTCATAGTAACTCTGTTTGGATGCTTTGTTTAAATAGGGGAAAGTAGTAGAAATAAGAAAAAACGAGTAACTACCTAATTGTAGAGACCCAGATTACCCAAAGCTGTCCCACAATACAGCAGGAAAAAACGATACTGCCCATCCTGTCCTCCCTTTCTGCATCACCTTCCCAGGCAACCCTCGGCAACCCTGCGCCTACTGTCTGTTTCCCTGGATATCACTCCCTGAAGCAAGTATCATCATCGCTTCTGAAACAGCTCAGTGACAGGCCATCAATAACAAAGCCCATATATTGCCTACCACTCGCTACAGTGACGGGAAACACAAGTGAAACGACGCAGTGAAGTAAGTATGATGAAGGAACAAGGTGCTTCTAGGAGCAGGTGAGAACCTTGGCAATGCCCAGGTAGGCCCAAATCTGCAAAGCAACATCAGAACACTTTAACAGATTGTTTTTCAAAGATATTTGGACCATATTTCTCCTATTCATCTTATGCTACACTGGCTTACCTTTTTTTTTCTTTTCTTTTCTTTTCTTTTTTTTTTTTTTGAAATTTCCTCTCAGACACCTAACTCCCACACAAGATGGACATTTTCCTGAAGTGAACACACAGCTTCTCTTGAAGCAAATCATCTATCTATCTGAACACAACAGGCAATGCAATTCAAAAACCTGACAATGGACCAGCACTTCTGGGGGAAAAAAAAAAATGCCCTACCAGAATATTCAGAAATGACACTCAGGGTATTAAGCAATTAAATTTTGCCTAGGGGCACCTGGGTGGTGCATTGGGCTAAGCATCTGACTTGATTTCAGCTCAGTCATGATCATCGTGGTCATGTGATCAAGCCCCACATTGGGCTCAGCACTCAGCGCAGAGTCTGCTTGAGATTCTCTCTCTCCTTCTGCCCCCACCCCACCCCCAAGCATTCTCTCTCTCTTTCTCTCAAAATAAATAAATAAAATCTTAAAAAAACTTTTCGGGGTGTGGGGGCGGCACTTAGGTGCCTGTCAGTTAAACATCTGTCTTCAGATCAGGTCATGATTCCAGGGTCCTAGAATTGAGTCCTGGGTCAGGGATCCCTACTCAGTGGGGAACCTGCTTCTTCCTCTCTTTCTCCCTCTGCCTGCTGCTCCCTCTGCTTGTGCTCTCTCTCTCTCTCTCTTTCTGTCAAATAAAGAAATAAAATATCTAATTGGGGGGGGCACTAAACTGGCCAGTCCCAGGAACGTGGGATGATCTGTCACTTCCTTGCTTATCAGCATCTTCTGCCTGACTTTGACCTATTGTACATCACATCCATGGAGGCGGGCAGCTTCTCCCTGGCTTTCGCTCACTAAAATAGCCTCTCTTGGGGGTACCTTATTTCAGCTTACATTTCCTGATACTATGCTAACTGAAAGAAACATCTCAGTTACAAATGGATAATCACTTTGAAATATCAATATTTAAGAGTATTTAGATTGCAACAAAAATTGTCCTGTCGTTACTATTTATCACCTAACAAAGAGCTTCATTAAATGGATTCACAGAATCCTGTCTGCTCTGCTGTCTCTCCGATCTACAAGTCTATCACACACACTCGAACCACCACCATGGCAACAACAGAAAGGACAGATTATAAATCTGGTTTTTTATGTCCCTTCAGATAAAGTTTAAATGACTAGAAGAAGGATTTTTCACTGTCCTTGCTTCTGTACAGATTCTAAATCAGAGAAGACAATGTTTTCATTAGTTTAAGATGTCTTTTCCAGGAAATTCTCCTCCCTTAAATTTGTGCAGTACTTTATAGTGTTTCAAAACATTTTTCACACATGCCACCAGAACTGATTCTCCCAAACACCTTATTATGAGATTGGAATTCGAAAACTGGAATAGGTCAAATTGAACCAGCAGCTCACTCTCACTCTAATGGGATATGTTACCCTTTATCAGATTAACCACCAGCATCCTAGCCTTGGCCTCATATTTTTAATCTCTTTATCGCTTTCTGCTTCAAATTTAGTAACTTCTTCAATCTAGCTCATCATTCATTAATTCTCACTTAATTTCTGTCTTACACGTTATTTACCCAAACCCTTGATTCTTCACTGTAATAATCAGTTTTTATTTCCAAGAGCTCTAGTTGGTTCTTCAAATCTGCCTGTCATTTTTGCTTGATTATTAAAACACCATTTCTTGGAGAGAAAATAACAAGTGTTGGCAAGGATATGGAGGACCTGGAGCCCTGGCACACTGTTGGTGGGCACATAAAACGGTGCCGCTATTACGGAAAACAGAAAAAATTTCAGGTAGAATTGCCATATGATTCAGCAATCCCACTTCTGGGTAACTCACCCACAAGAATTGAAAGCAGGGTGCTGAACAGAGGTATCTGCACTCTTACATTCATAGCAGCATTGTTCACAAGAGCCGGAAAGTGGAAACAACCCAAAAGGTCCATCAACGATAAATGGATAAACAACATAAATAGTGGAGTATTATTCAGCCTTAAGAAGCAAGGAAATTCTCACACAGAAAACGACCTGAAGACACTACGCTAAGTGAAATGATTCAGGAACCCAAAGGGTATGACTCTATGTAGTTGAGGTCCCTAGTGTGGGCAAATGCACAGAGACAGAAAGAGGAAGGGCAGCCCCAGGGGCGGGCGGAGGGAGAACAGTGAGCAAGTGTAGACCGGGTGCAGGATGTTGGTGTGGTGAGGCGAGGGAGCAGGAGGTGGATGGTAGCAAGGGCCACACCACCACGTGGATATCTTCAGTACCACTGAACTGTACAGTGACGGTGGTAAATTTTCCATTATGTATGCTACGACAATTAAAAATAATTTAAAATGTGAGAGGGGAAGGAGCCAACCTTTCAGAGGTCAGAGACCAGGAAGCAAAGGCTTCCCACAAGGCTACCACGTGCCTGACTCCCACATACGTCCCCTCATCCGCTCCCCTAGTGGCATCTCCCAGGCAGTGAGGAGGAATTAGAAATAAAATATTAAATCCAGGGCCATGATCATCATCATATCATCTCATCACTCTGAGCCTAAGAGCAGGTGGGTACATGCGACAAGTCTTCCATGACCCCAGGCAGAACGACTAGCCCTGACCCACACACGGAAATGTCGCAGCCATGAGCTGGTCTCTTCCCCTTCACGTGGTACATGCCTGGGTCTCAAAAAGAAGCCAATGCCGTCTCTGAGGACAGTTCTGAACACAACAAGCACCACTTTATGAGAAGACCAAGGTGAGGAGTGTTCGTTCCCCATGTGGAAGGCCCCAAACGGCCAGAGGCCAGCAGCCGGGCCCAGTCTGACATGGCAGCTCAGAGGGGAGAAGCTCTGCGGGGTTCCAGGGCCCCTGAGAAGGATGGCTGTGTTTCATGCCACCCAAGAAGCAGTGGTTACGAATTTAACATTTAAATATAATCAGGTTTTAGCCTTGTTGGAGCCAAAGGCTGGTTTTTGGCAATAAAAAAGGGCTTTAACAAGTGTCTATGACGGATTATGTTCAGGCTTTGCTAATGCATCCGTCATGTCAGCAGAGACGTGACGGGCGGCTGAAGCAATCCTATCAGGATGGGCTGTTCCACCCCAAACGTCCTAGCCAGACTACCAAGGCTCTCTCTTCGCGATTAGAGTCGGTCTTTGCCAATGCCTTAAGATCAGTTACTGATGACCTCCTCTAAACCCCTAAGATTCTGTTTACACTGAGAAAATGAAGAAGAGATGCTCTCCCATCAAATGGCAACTCTGTAAGGCTCCACCAGGATGCTGCCACCACCTTTCCCAGCCTGGCTTTTTTAATCAGTGCATTTGTAGAAGGCTCGAACAGCACTGTACCCTTCCTTCAACCAGTGGTTCTCAGAATTGGCGGGGCAGCTGAATCCCCTGGAGAGTTCGTTAAACCACAGCTCGCTGGGTCCCACCCACCCCCAGAGTTCGAGTTGGCACACCTGGGGCAAGGCCAAGCACCTGCATTTCTGACATGTTCCTGGGTGCAGCCTGTGCTCCTGCCCCACCATCACCTCGCCATCCCCCTACCTTTCCACAGCTAGCATGCTAGAGACGTCGTCACTTTCGCTTGGAATGCCATCTCCTCAGTGTGATGTCAAAACCTCAATGGCAACCAGGGGCAGTCCAAGTCTTCTCCCTTTCCCCTGCCCCAGGCTTCTTCTGCCCTCTTTCCCAAGGAGGGGTCAAAGGAAGGGTCAGAACATCCATTAAAATGGGGAGGAGGGAGAAGGGTGTGCTAGGCAGCCCTGGTTAGCTTTTTCCCTTTTTGCTTCCACACCACCAGACAGAGAGGTAGGAGGCATGCACCCCAGCCAACTCTTCCTCTCTTCCTTTACCAAAGCAGATGCTTCCCTGCGGGACCCCAGAAGGAGAGGCAGAACTGGGCCAAGGCAGGATTCAGTGTTCCTGAGGCCCCCTGCCTAACAACCAGATCGGTGTCATCCTAATAGCCGTCTACTTTGCTTCCTGACACCTCTCCTCAAATAACAGCTGTTTGCCGAAACCTTTCTCACCTGTACTTCTGGAGGTCATACTTTTTCTACCTTGTTTAGAAGTCCTTTCCAATCTGTCTACCCCATGCCCTACTCTCTTCTGACTTGTACCCAGGAAGTACTCATTAAATATTTACTGAATTTAATTGAAACATCCTCTGAGGTCAGAGAGTGCATGTTGTCGATGTACCATTAGGAAAGCAAGAGTCATAGAAATTATATATCAAGAACATTTCATATTTGGGAAAGTCATTTCCAATACCACACGCCCCCAGAAATGTACTTCAGGAGAAGGTCATTCAACCACAGACCAGAGGAGTTTTCAGAGTCTGTAGATTTCCAAAGAGCCTATTATTTCCAGGAGGATATATTATAATACAATGTATTTAGCCCCCTAAAAACTCTTGTTAGTAAAACTAAAATTAACTTCGGGAAATAATACAGAAATTAGACTCATATCCTTGGTAACCTTTTTCCTTCGAAGCATGGCCCCTATTTAGCTTCTATTACCCACCCACCCCCAAATATCATAGCGATAGTATAGACTTGAGTTTCCTTTAGAGAGAACAAAAGATGGCAACTCACCTTAGAACTAGTTGTAACATCACATCTTCGCAATGTAAACCGATAAGAGTTCTAAATAATGCCAGGGACACCACACAGAGCTGGGAAGCAATAAACACACATTCTATTTCATATATTGGAAGGATAGCTCTACTCCCCACAGATGGAAAATAAATCAGAATTATAAAATAAAATGGCCTCCTTTTTTAGCAGCTTTGATAAAAACATGCTCCTGTTGTATGTGTGTGAAGAACGTGTGTGAAGGCTTTTCGTGCTCCTATAGGATTTGATTAGAAAGCCTATGCCTAGAATTATGCCATTACACAGAGTCACCCTCCTCCAAAATGCATTTGCTCTTATTTCCAACTTTTACAGATCCACATAAGCAAGCCCCTACCACTCTCCAATACACACACGGACACACTCACACACATGATCTCCTGCCTGGCACTTGTTTTCCCAAGTTATTTTCAAATACGGTGCTGGTTATTTACAAGACAGGGCTACCAGAAAATTGCAAATGCCCTGACCAGCACCCCCTCTAGAGTTCTTAGTCTCATGCCTCAGCTCCTCTTGGCTTATCTCTTGGGTTTGGGGCAAACGTTCTCCTTGGTTCCATTTCCAATAGTGCTGAGGCTATGACGATACACTTTTCTAAGAAGTTCAGTCAAAAACAAGAATTCATTCACTCTCTAATTTCCGAAAAGGAAAGACAAACGGCAAACAGGGAGGATGCCCAAAGGTGTATTATAAACTGATTGTACCCTTTTGGGAGTAAGCTTTTTATCATTCCATCAGACCACTTAAGTAATTTTTTGCCCTAGTCAGAAAGTGCTAGTCTAGTCTGTCTGCTAGGCAGGATGGACTTAAAACCTGGTCAGTGGAATTCAGAATGGTTGTCATAATAATAAGAGCTACAAGAATAGAAAAAATAATATTCCTCATTTATTCCCAAAACAAACTCTCCTGAAATTTGTTCTGAGTTATAAAGTCCCTTCCTCTGGGGCTCTCCTTACCCGAAATGGGGTGTTGATTCGGCTCGTGAGGGTATCTAGGATGTGGACATTCTCGTGCTGGTGCAAGAGGATAAAACGGAGGAAGATCTCGAGTAGTGCTGGCTCGGAGATACTACGCAGGAAAAGGTCCAGATACGCAGTTGTGGTCATGACCTCCTCCACAGTCACCTGGGACCAACGACAGAATGAGCACAGATGAGCATCCTCTTAATGCTGTGATCCATGCTTCCCCAAAGGCTCCTGGCCTCACCGCAGTGACCCCATCAAGGCAAGGACACACCAACCACCAGAACCCGCTTCAGAGTCGCATCTGAAGCCTATAACCTATTCACATTCCACGACACCTCATGCTGCTTCCGCCCTTTAATTCAGTAAGGGAGAAGCAAAGACATAAAAAAGCAATTCAAGTGTTCTGACAACTCTAATCATCAAATGCAGTTCAAATACCATAAAGATTTTAGCGTGGAACCACAAAGGGGAAAAAAGAGATCATGGAAAGTATCTGCGTGGTCGGTTACGAATTAATTAGAACACCCAGTATAACTGTTTCATTAGTAGTCATCAGATAAATATTTATTGGACCTGCTATGTACCAAGAGCTAGAAAATGTAAGAACACATTTTCTGTCCAGGAAGATGGGTGTAGACATAGAATCTCATAAGCAAAATAACATCATCATCAGTGGGAATTAAGAGGGACAGATGCAAAGCTCCGAAGATGTCTAGATAGGTTTCTGGAACGTTGCAACATTCAAATTTGTATAACTGAATAACATACATAAAGTGTTACTTCTAAAGCATTATAAGAGTTTACTGCTTCTAAAGTAACTGACTTTTTTTTTTTTTATATAACACAAACGAATACTGTCTACGTGGTGTGAATTTCCTTGCAGTAGAATGTGAGTCTTGCAGGGAAGAGAAGCCTCTGAACAGTCAAGTTTTCGAAGTGCCAAGGATTTGGTACTCAAAGCCTTTGGATTTTCAACAATTTGATAGGGAGTATTTTCAGAGCTCATATGCAATTCTCTGTCTTCTTCTTCTTCTTCTTCTTCTTCTTTTTTAAGATTTATTTATTTGACAGAGAAAGACACAGCGAGAGAGGGGACACAAGCAGGGACAGTGGGAGAGGGAGAAGCAGGCTTCCCGGTGAGCAGGGAGCCTGATGTGGGGCTCGATCCCAGGACCCTGGGACCATGACCTGAGCGAAGGCAGACACCTAACGACTGAGCCCCCCAGGCGCCCCTATTCTTTAGCTTCCCAAAAGCAAAGTTCCACAACTCTTCATGAACAGGGGTCATCTGTGGCCTTACTGTCTGTAGAGGAGAATTACCCACCCTGGGAGGCATGAAAATCACCAGGGCAACAACTGCAAATCTTAGACTCCACCCCTCTGCTCTCGAAATCTTGGAAATCTCCCCAGTCCCGAGTCTAACGCCCTCGATCACTTGGTGTTAAGTGATACAGAAGGCGAGGCTTCTTGAATGATTACATCTTCTCTTTTCCAGTTATTCACTTCTTTCTTCCTTCCTTTCGAAGTGTGAACTGTCACCTTATCATACTGGGACTGGTCATTTCTTTTATAATACACTCCTCTTCTCTTTGGAATGTTCTGCCTTCAGAAGCCACAAAGCAGTTTAGAAATCAGATCTCCAAATCTGCTCTATAAGTATAGATAGGCTCCATGCAGGTGTATCTGTACATAAAGGCTTAAATTATTTTTATAAATTTTCTTGCCGGGGGGGGGCGGGGCGCCTGGGTATCTCAGTCAGTTGAGAAGCTGCCTTCAGCTCAGGTCATGGTCCCAGAGTCCAGGGATTGAGGCCCGCGTCAGGCTCCCTGCTTGATAGAGAGCTGCTTCTCTCTCTGCCTGCGGCTCCCCCTTCTTGGCTCTCTCACTCTTGCTCTATCTCAGATAAATAAATAAAATATTTTTAAAAAATAAAAATAAAATAGATTTTCTTGAGCCTTAGGGATGTTCCAGACAGAGGAGTCCAGATGGATAATATACGACCATATCAGTGTTGTCTATCTTCTTTACGCTAAGTAAGGCACACCTACACAATACAGGTGAACTCACCCTCTTGGGGCTGACGGTGAGCGGCCTGAGCACGCACATATCAGAGGGCAAACACTCTGCCCCTCCAGCTCAGCGCCCATGCCGCGAGCCCTCAAAACATTCAACACACCACTGTGTCATCTGGCCAACTTTTCAGGGCTCTCTGTGGCCCAGATAAAACAAAGGAAACAGGTAAACCTCAACCACCTGGCAAATAAATTACCTTCTGAGAAGAGTGTTTCTCAGGAGCTGCCCCTGCTCCTGAAACCCACTGCTTCCGTCCCTGTGTTTCCTGGTCTTCTCTGGTCCCACACTCATGGCACTCTTAATGCTGTCCTGGGACACACGCTATGGCTTGTGTATTACTCCAGTGCAATGTACAGAGTTTGGCAAGAGAAGGGACTGCCTGTAACTTTTCCTGAATAAATGATAGCCCCCAAGGTCCTAGTGATTTACATTTGCCGAAACTGAGCTTAATTTTTAATTCATCTCTCCTCTCTGGCCCTCTGCTCTGAGGGCCCCTGAAAGGGGGGGCATTTTTTTCTAAACACCTATAGAATAATGGATGTCACCAAATATAGGTAAAGGGGAAACGACCCACATCACCACCAAACACGCAGCTCCGTTAGCTCACACCCGTTCCGCTGCTGCAGTCTCGAGGTACTTTAGCCGAAACTGAATCCAAAGTCATGTAGGCAGAAGTCCAATTCCCTAATAATCAGATGGCTAGGGAAAAAGTAGCACTTTTTAAACGGACCATGCATGCATGCAGTTTCTGCGATAGTGCATTTCAACCTTACTTACTGAGCTGCTGAGCTGACACATCCTGCAGAATTCCAGGAGCTGTCTTTGCACCAACAATGCACCATCAGCTTTTCCCCCCTTAAGTTACACATGACCTTAATAAGCTCAAAAGCACAGCAATAAACCCTTTAGAATAGAAGTCTCGGTCTTTGGGGGCTGACATGAAAGCAGGGCATTAAGCATCTATTGTTTACTACTCTTAGGCTGCATAAATGGAAGATTTTATTATTATTATTATTATTATTATTTTTTAGCAATCAAAACTGTCATTTATGAGCTAAGAGGATTTAAGAAAAACACTTGGAGGGCTAGCATTTACATAACATGGTGTAAATGCCAAAACCCAATTCTATTAAGCATCGAGTTGCAACCTCTTGATAAATCGAGGTCACCCTCACCTTAAACTAATACCTAAGCCAAGAAAACCTGGTTCCCTTCTCTTTCTGTCTCTTCCCTCCTCCATATTCAAGGAGCCCTCAGAAGACTTTTATCCCAGAAAATCTTTTCCTGCCCCATTATCTTACTTTGCAGAATCTTCCTCTAATCCCCCAAATAGACATGCTCCTTAAGGAGGATGAGACCAGAGCCTAAGTATGATCGCTGGAAAGCTAACGCTGAACCACCAGGGGACAGCAGCTCTGCTGCGTGGAATGCAAAACCAAAGCTGCCACTCATGTCCCAAAAAGGAAGAATTCGCCCAACGGGACAGTAGCATCCTCTTCGTGGTCCAACTACGAAGGATGATCAGTTGTTGATGTACCTAAGACCTTTTGCCTTACAGAGGATGGTCAGTATCCATTTCTCTTGTGCTGTAAGGAATTGCCGGTGGCTACAGATTTAGGTAGAAATACTAGAAGAATTAGGAAATGAGGTTCTGCCTTACTACCACGTAAGACACGAGAAAATTTAAGGATACTCAAGCCTAGGAATGTTAATTCTTACTAAAGGCAGACCATAATGAGAGGAATAACCTAAGGAAAACTCCGTCCACAAACAAATATTTATCCTTGACAAGATAAAGCACAAGCATGAACCTAAACAATGTGTCTGCTGAGGCACCCTTCTGCGTGCAACTTTCCAGCCCCAGTTCTAGAATGGAACCTGAGCCCTGACTCAGGGACATAATCTTACTTGGACCAAGCCAAGTTGAGTTGATCCTTTGAAATCAATCCCCTTCTTCACCCACCTTCTCCACCCTCCACTAGCCCTCACCCGGGTCCCCCATCACACTGAGTGCCTTCATCAGCCCTTTAAACTGGTGTTTTCAAACTAGTCTGAGATCCGAAAGTGGAAAGTGAAATCAATGTATTGATTCACTCATCGTGTACACCAGATACAAACCATAAATATTAGGGTATGCTGCACGGAGTAGGTACTGTTTTGGGAAACTTCTGTGTGTCTATTTTGCTCAAATTAGATGTAATGCAATATATTACATATGCATGGCCTTCGTTATCTAGTCAGTAAAAAATATAGACACACACACACTCAAATGAATAAATCTTTGGCCATGCATTACAGTCAGAGACATCTAAAAAGCACTAGAGTACAAGGAAACAACCAAACCAACCCACCAGCCTTTCGGCCATCCCCTGACCCGTTCCCGTCACCAGTCCCTTGCTCTAGGCTCCGACCCAGCGTGGTCCGAGTCCAGAAGCAGTGCTTCTATGCACAGGTGGGATCAGCACTCCCAAAAGGACAGCAACTGAATTCACTGTCCATCTACTCCTTTCTATTTTAGCATAAGAGCTCCAACCACGCACATATTATGCTTGCTTGTTTTAATCAGTATCCCAAAAGCTTCTCCAGAAAAGGGACAAAATAGAGTTTGTTCTCCTTTAAAAGGGGGATGGGTAGGAAGGGAGGAGTTGATACCATGTGTTACCTTCTGCTTCTGTAATTCAAAACTCTCTGAAAGGAAGGCCAGCCCCAAGCCCAGCCATCACGGCCACCATCGCGGCGGCACATTAACTTAATGCCTACCATAGGAGTGAAATTGAGCATACAGACATTCTGACCTTTCTGTAATCAGCTCTAGTTGGGCAATTCCATTTGCATCTCAATTAGCACCAGAGTCCTCTCTGTAATGGCAGGTTTATGTGTGTGTCCTGAAAAACAAATTTCCCACCTGCTAATTGTTTTTTTGTGATCCAGTCACATTGGAACAAACAGATGGGTTCTACCTTCTGTCACTTAGGCAGGTGGCAGGGAGTGGGGTCAGGTGACTGTTGCATCCTCTCCAAGTTAGAAGCCACCTTTCCTTGGCGTTTCCTTCAACATACGGGAGAAAACTAGCTAAGCGGGGGCTC